CAGCCGAGATCTTAACCACTGCACCACCAGGGGATTTACAACACATAGATAATCACATCAGATCACAAAATGGTGGACAACCACACAATACTGGGAATCATGGCCTAGCCAAGGTAAGTTAACACACATTTTTTGGGGACACAATTCAATCAGTAACAGTCTTCAAAGTGATATCTTCATTTTCTAACACTTTAAGGAGGTCTTTTGCAGCAGATTTGCTCAATTCAATACATTATTTGATTTCTTGACTGCTGCTTCCATGGGCGGTAATTGTGGATCCAAGTGAAACAAAATCCTTGACAACTTCAATCTTTTCTCTGTTTATCATGATGTTACTTGTTGGTCCAGTTGTGAGAATTTTTCTTTACGTTGAGATGTAATCTATCCTGAAGGCTACAGTCTTTGATCTTCATCAGTAAGTGCTTCAAGTCCTCTTCACTTTCGGCAAGCAAGGTTGTGTCATCTGGATATCGCAGGTTGTTAATGAGTCTTCCTCCAGTCCTGATGCCCCGTTCTTCTGCATATAGTCCACCTTCTCGGCTTATTTGCTCAACATACAGATTGAATAAGTATGGTGAAATGTTCTCCCTGATGCACACATTTCCTGATTTTAAACTACGCAGTATCCCCTTGTTCCATTTGAAGGACTGCCTCTTGGTCTATGTACAGCCTCCTCATGAACACAATTAAGTGTTCTGGAATTCCCATTCTTCATAATGTTATCTGTAATTTGTTATGATCCACAGAGTCGAATGCCTTTGCATCGTCAATGAAACACAGGCAAACACGTTTCTGGTATTCTCTGCTTTCAGCCAAGATCCATCTGACATCAGCAGTGATATCTCTTGTTCCACGTCCTCTTCTGAATCCAGCTCGAATTTCCAGCAAAGATTAATAGGATTTTTCTTTTTATTTAAGTGCATGGCTAAACTGGCAGAAAATAAAGACAATCATTCAAAGCCAGAAGTAACCAGAAAGGTGAATTCAGAAAGGCTGATGGCCCTGAAGCTGGGTCTGCTCTGGGGGCATCTGACCCTCTCTGACGGCCCCAAATGGGTGGGAAAAGCCTTGAGCCTTCAAAGAGTAGGGGTCAGACTGGAAACCCCGGAAAGGCAACATCCCCAAGGGTGAACTAGAAAAAAACACCCACCAGAGCAAATAGTTGGAATACTTCCCAGTCTCCGGCTTCCCTGTGGGTGAAGAAGAGAAAAATTTTCTTCCTGGAAACTCTTAACCACAAGCCCATCCTGATGGGGATATGGGCCAGTATTCACACAGAATTCACTACCTGTGTACTTCTAAAATTCCAAGCAAAAAACTTAGTTTAAAGTGGCTATGTTGGTAGTGCTCCCAAGCACCTAACAGAAGCAAACACAAAGCCTCTTTGGAGGAACAAACTTTAAATCCAGGTGTTCAAGAATTACTACATATAAAATTCCAAAGAACATGAACTCACAATCAAAAATCACAAAACACCTGAGAAACCAAGTCACTGGGAGAGTCATTTCACTGAGGATTTTCCTTGTTTTTGCTGACCCTTTACTTTACCAAACATGATGTCCTTTTCTAACAATTTATCTTTCCTGATGTCTGTCTGCAGACGATATAATCATGTCCCTAGAAAATCCACAGGACTGAGTGGGAAAACAAGAAAACCTAACAGAACTTGATACAGAAACCAGAAACCAGAAACCAAACCAGTTGTTGTCAAGTCAACTCCAACTCATGGTGACCCCGTGTGTGTCACAGTAGAACTGCAGAGAATACCTGCAACACATACAGTAGACGTGAGACTACTTTCTTTAATCTATAAGACGAACGACACAATGGGCAAACCATCAGAGAGCATGACCAGGGGGCTCACAGGAAATAATAATCAATACACCAACGAAAAGATGCTCAATCTCATTCTTAATGAAAGAGATGCAAATAAAAATGAGATCCAGCTTTTCTCTTAGCCTATTGACAAAAATCATTGTCTTCTTTGTGCCTGGTACATGGCACAAAGTAGACACAAGGCCTTCTCATCCTCTATCGGGATAATATAAATTGTGGCAACTTTTGTGGGGAGCAGAAACATCCTTCCAAATATAAGATGCACACACCTCTGGCTGCAATTCACACATAGCTACACCACAATAATCAATAAAGACAGATGGGTGAGGGTCTTCATTGCAAAATTATTTGTAAATAGGTCCCAGCACCAAGATTGTGCCATAAAATACACATACACTGTTCTGCTCCAGGGAAACGGAGACACCAGGGACTACTGGGCCCCTTTCCTGCCAGCGCCAGAGACACAACTCTCCACACTGCCCCTTGGCAGGAGAGGGGGCTCCTGTTGGTGAG